TGGTCAACAGATGCTACTATGGTCTGAGCAAACAACTGAAAAGCAAGGCCACCTCCCACCAGGCCAAACTCACACTTTACAAGACGCTGTTACGACCCATGCTGTTATATGGATCTGAAGCATGGGTACTTACGCAAGCAGATGAGGCAGCTCTTGGAGTGTTTGAGAGAAAAATTCTCCGAAAGATCTATGGGCCGATTTGCGTTGACGGTGAATATCACCGTCGAATAAATCATGAGTTGTACAATCTATTCTCGGATATCGACATTGTTAGACGTATTGAGCTGCAGCGACTACCTTGGCTAGGTCATGTTGTGAGAATGGATGAAGATGCCCCAGCCCAGAAGGCATATAAAAACGAACCAACTGATGGTTCATGCAGAAGGGGAAGGCCAAGAATACGTTGGAAAGATCAAGTCGAAGACAACATCGCCGAAAATTGTCTTTCAAATTGGAAAAACTACGCAAAAGACCGACGCGCCTGGAAATCTTTTCTAAGCTCGGCTTGTGGAACGAATGTGCTGCCAGCTAAGCAAGCAAATTTCCTTCCAGCAACAGTTTTCATATTTCCTGCTTGGTTTATTTTCATTTTCCCTTCAAATTTGTCTCTGTTCTTTTTTTGCGGAAGTTATTTAGAAAATTAGATTTACAGAAAATCATGTGTATGGAAAAAGGGGTATGCTATGTGCCGCTCTTCCGCTCATGACATAAATCATCATCATTGAACGCATTTTTTTAAAATGCTCCATATGTGAGTGGAAATTCTAAATTGTGGCACTCCAAATGGATGATTTCCATCAAAAGACCATGCAATGCAATAGCATCACGTTTCAATCACAACATCCGCTTCTCTCCAAATCGGTGGAGGGAGAGCAATAATACACTACACGCAAGCGTATGACACTTTGTACGAAGCAGATCGGTAACTACAATAGAAAAGAGGAAATGATCTACTTCCCTCCCTTCGTCTATGTCACAGCTCTTTACAAAATTACCCGCAATTTTTATTTTAAGCTACACTTGAGGTTCAAGCCGCTAATGATGGCGATGATCACGTTTGTCAGCTTGGATGGTTCAATGAGGATCGCATTCATATAATATTGGAGTACATCCGCCTGCATTATTACGCATCACAACGCTACATCCTCACAATGCCCAGCTTTATGTAATTATTGAATTGTTTATGGCGTAATTATGATGGTCATTATTACATGACCCAATGTGTAAAATAAAAACAAAAATCTGAAGAGAGAGATTTTCTATTTGGAAATCCGGAAGTGTACATAGAAATGATGGGGGGAATACGCTTTAAAATGGAGCATGGTGGAGAAAATATTAATTGAAATGATTTAAAAAATCAGCCGTAAATTTTTTTTTTAAAAAATATTTTTAAGGGTCCTCCACAAGGCGTGGATTAAACAAAATATTTTTAAGGGTCCTCCACAAGACGTGGATTTTTTAAAAAATATTTGTAAGGGTCCTCCACAAGGCGTGGATTTTTTAAAAAAAATTTTTTAAGGGTCCTCCACAAGGCATGGATTTTTTAACAAAATATTTGTAAGGGTCCTCCAAAAGGCGTGGATTTTTTTTAAAAAAATATTTTTAAGGGTCCTCCACAAGGCATGGATTTTTTAACAAAATATTTTTAAGGGTCCTCCACAAGGCGTGGATTTTTTAAAAAATATTTTTAAGGGTCCTCCACAAGGCGTGTATTTTTTAAAAAATATTTTTAAGGGTCCTCCGAAAGGCATGGATTTTTTTAAAAAAATATTTTTAAGGGTCCTCCACAAGGCGTGGATTTTTTAAAAAATATTTTTAAGGGTCCTCCACAAGGCGTGTATTCTTTAAAAAATATTTTTAAGGGTCCTCCACAAGGCGTGGATTTTTTAAAGAATAGTTTGAAGGGCCTCCACAAGGCGTTATTTTTTAAAAAAATATTTTGAAGGGTCCTCCACAAGGCGTGGATTTTTTAAAAAAATATTTTTAAGGGTCCTCCATAAGGCGTGGATTTTTTTTTTTAAATATTTTTAAAGGTCCTCCACAAGGCGTGGATTTTTTTAAAAAATATTTTTATGGGTCCTCCACAAGGCGTGGATTTTTAAAAAAATATTTTTATGGGTCCTGCACAAGGCGTGGATTTTTTTAAAAAATATTTTTATGGGTCCTCCACAAGGCGTGGATTTTTTTAAAAAATATTTTTATGGGTCCTCCACAAGGCGTAAATTTTTTTAAAAAATATTTTTATGGGTCCTCCACAAGGCGTGGATTTTTTTAAAAAATATTTTTATGGGTCCTCCACAAGGCGTGGATTTTTTTAAAAACAATTTTTATGGGTCCTCCACAAGGCGTGGATTTTTTTAAAAAATATTTTTATGGGTCCTCCACAAGGCGTGGATTTTTTTAAAAACAATTTTTATGGGTCCTCCACAAGGCGTGGATTTTTTTAAAAACAATTTTTATGGGTCCTCCACAAGGCGTGGATTTTTTAACAAATATTTTTAAGGGTCCTCCACAAGACGTGGATTTTTTAAAAAATATTTTTAAGGGTCCTCCACAAGGTGTGGATTTTTTAAAAAATATTTTTAAGGGTCCTCCACAAGACGTGGATTTTTTAAAAAATATTTTTAAGGGTCCTCCACAAGGCGTGGATTTTTTAAAAAATATTTTTAAGGGTCCTCCACAAGACGTGGATTTTTTAAAAAATATTTTTAAGGGTCCTCCACAAGGCGTGGATTTTTTAAAAAATATTTTTAAGGGTCCTCCACAAGGCGTGTATTTTTTACAAAATATTTTTAAGGGTCCTCCACAAGGCGTGGATTTTTTACAAAATATTTTTAAGGGTCCTCCACAAGGCGTGTATTTTTTACAAAATATTTTTAAGGGTCCTCCACAAGGCGTGGATTTTTTACAAAATATTTTTAAGGGTCCTCCACAAGGCGTGTATTTTTTACAAAATATTTTTAAGGGTCCTCCACAAGGCGTGGATTTTTTACAAAATATTTTTAAGGGTCCTCCACAAGGCGTGTATTTTTTACAAAATATTTTTAAGGGTCCTCCACAAGGCGTGGATTTTTTACAAAATATTTTTAAGGGTTTTTGGATTGGATTTGGATTTTTTACAAAATATTTTTAAGGGTCCTCCACAAGGCGTGGATTTTTGTTTAAATAATTTTAAGGGTCCTCCACAAGACGTGGATTTTTTTTTTAAATAATTTTAAGGGTCCTCCACAAGACGTGGATTTTTTTTAAATAATTTTAAGGGTCCTCCACAAGACGTGGATTTTTTTTTTAAATAATTTTAAGGGTCCTCCACAAGACGTGGATTTTTTTTAAATAATTTTAAGGGTCCTCCACATATTTGTTAAAAACTATTTTTAAGGGTCCCCCACAAGGCGTGAATTTTTTAAAAAATATTTTTAAGGGTCCTCCACAAGGCGTGGATTTTTTAAAAAATATTTTTAAGGGTCCTCCACAAGGCGTGGATTTTTTAAAAAATATTTTTAAGGGTCCTCCACAAGGCGTGGATTTTTTAAAAAATATTATTATGGGTCCTTCACAAGGCGTGGATTTTTTAAAAAATATTTTTAAGAGTCCTCCACAAGGCGTAGATTTTTTAAAAAATATTTTTAATTGTCCTCCACAAGGCGTGGATTGTTTTCAAAAATATTTTTAAGGGTCCTCCACAAGGCGTGGATTGTTTTCAAAAATATTTTTAAGGGTCCTCCACAAGGCGTGGATTTTATTTAAAAATATTTTTAAAGGTCCTCCACAAGGCGTGGATTTTTTTTTTAAAAATATTTTTAAGGGTCCTGCACAAGGCGTGGTTTTTTTTTAAAAATATTTTTAAGGGTCCTGCACAAGGCGTGGATTTTTTAACAAATATTTTTAAGGGTCCTCCACAAGGCTTGGATTTTTTAAAAATTTTTTTTAATGGTCCTCCATAAGGCGTGGATTTTTTTTTTTTTTAAATATTTTTAAGGGTCCTCCACAAGGTGTGGATTTTTTTTTTAAATATTTTTAAGGGTCCTCCACAAGGCGTGGATTTTTTTTTTAAATATTTTTAAGGGTCCTCCACAAGGCGTGGATTTTTTAAAAAATGTTTTTAAGGGTCCTCCACAAGGCATGGATTGGTTTCAAATATTTTTAAGGGTCCTCCACAAGGCGTGGATTTTTTAACAAATATTTTTTTTAATGGTCCTGAAAGTAAATATGTGAGAATGGTCTAGTAACTCACTCCGTTGTTTTTCGCTTCATCTAGCAAACTCTGATGACATTTCTAAAGCCACCCTCATCAAGCGAACGCGATGAGATGACAGGCAATTCCAGTGAAATGCGGATATTTTATGCGTGTAAACAATTGAAAGATTTAATGTTTGTTGGAGTGAGAAAGACCTTTCATTGTTCAGCATTACCCAGACGACTGAGTTGTGGGGTTTCCTCGAGTAGCACCAGCTACACCACCATCACCACAATCAACATCGGTAGCAGCAACCAGTTCAAGTAATTATATTTAAGGCGTATTATTAAGGGCTTATAAAAACATTGTGTATGTTTGGGTATGCTGGATATGTGCATGTCGGTATGTCTGTCTGTCAAAAAAAAAAAAAAAAAAAACAATCCAATTGATGCTGATACTTATTCACACAACATCATAATTATATGGTGGGAGAACACACACATCCCCCGCCAGCAGAGGGTACCTAACGTGTGAGATATTTGATAGTTTTTGGAGTAAATGCCCATGCTGAAGCTATGCAGTTTTGTTATAGGCTCGGCGAGCCTCCCCCTATTATGAGAATGCAGAGTTTTTTGTGTGTGTTGAGATGCTAGGTAATTTTCATTGAATAATTAGTGTTATTTAAAGCTGTGTAAAAAATAAATGCTTCTGTTTCGTCTATAAATTAAAATAAACCATCTCAGGTAGCTCGGAATTTCAAAATTTGTCCGCCCATATTTTTGGTGGTTTGGAATCATTATCATTATTAAATTGCTACCGGAAAATGTCTACACGTGATTGGCTGGATCTCCATTCTCACTTTAAATTCCCCAAGAAACCAGTGAAATATTTCATCAGCGAACGGAAGTGGGTTTCTTGGCTAACAATGTAAGAGATCGGATGTGCTGCGCAGTTACATAGTTGAAAGGAAGTTTAATATCAGTAAGTTACGTTATTAGTTTCATTTAATTGAAATCATATACAACCGAAATACCTCATAGCGATAGTCAAGGGCCTCACAAAATTAATGGATATAAGCGATATCTAGGAATATATTTCTAGAATTTTGGATAACATCATAAAAACCTATTTGTTGTCGGACCAAGACTTTTGTGTGAAAAATTATCAAATTTGCATTTTATATTTATTGCGAAAGGCATAAATCTAAGAAGTTGACAGTATATCTAAGCGGATTGGCTGACCTTACATTGATACGCGAATTTTATTGACGTATATACTCAGATCCCTGAAAAGATTTACGTATATCTACCACAATATACGTAAATCTTTTCAGGGATCTAAGTATTCAGATATTGTTTAGTATTTCCATTAACGTGGAACGCGCTGATAGCTATGAAATTTCTTTATGCAGTTTCGGTTATGTTTAGGGACGATACATATGTTTTTGGTTAAGTGGATAAAATGGACCGAAACTTTATTATACCCTTCACCACACTGTGGTAAATGGTGCACCAATGTTCCTATATATCATTCGACTTGCATGAAATTTAGTCTAGCGAACTGAATTGAGTCTAGAATAATGTGTGTGAAGTTTCACGAAAATCGGTTCGGATTTAGATATAGCTCCCATATATATTTTCGTCCGATTTTAGGTAAATGGTGCACCAATGTCCCTATATATATCATTAGATTTGCACGAAATTTGGCACAGCGTAATGAATTAATTCTATAACGATATGTGTTAAATTTAGTGAAAATCGGTTCAGATTTTGATATAGCTCCCATATATATTTTCGTCCGATTTTAGGTAAATGGTGCACCAATGTCCCTATATATCATTCGATTTACACGAAATTTGGCACAGCGTAATGAATTAGGTATAGAATGATGTGTGTTAAGTTTAGTGAAAATCGGTTCAGATTTTGATATAGCTCCCATATATATTTTCGTCCGATTTTAGGTAAATGGTGCACCAATGTCCCTATATATCATTCGATTTACACGAAATTTGGCACAGCGTACTGAATTGAGTGTAGAATGACGTGTGTTAAGTTTTGTGAAAATCGGTTCAGATTCAGATATAGCCCCCATATACATTTTCGTCCGATTTTATGTAAATGGTGCACCAAAGTCCCTATATATGCTTCGATTTGCACGAATTGAGTCTAGAATGATGTGTTTTAATTTTCGTGAAAATCTGATCAGATTTAGATATAGTTCCCATATATATTTTCGTCCGATTTTATGTAAATAGTGCACCAAAGTCCCTATATATCCTTCGATTTGCACGAAATTTTGCATAGCGTACTGAATTAAATCTAGAAAGATTCGTGTTAAATTTCGTGAAAATCTGATCAGATTTAGATATAGTTCCCATATATATTTTCGTCCGATTTTAGGTAAATAGTGCCCCAAAGTCCTATATATATCCATCGATTTGCACGAAGTTTTGCATTGCGTGCTGAAGTGAGTCCGGAACGATGTGTGTTAAATTTCGTGAAAATCTGTTTTGAACACTTTCACTTCGTCCATTAATATATTTTCCGATTTAATTTAAATTGTGCACTAAAGACTAAAAGTTTGGCCGTCTGCCACACTATGTACAATGTACTGAAGTTACTATAACCTTTCGTGTATCAAGTTTTCTTGAAATCGGTTCAGATTTACATATTGCTCTTGCAGAATGGCATGTGTTGGGATTGATGTTAGTCGGTTTACTTATAGAAAAATATCATGTCAATGTTCCTTCCTTCAATTTCATGTCAATGTTCCTTCAAATATACCCAAAGTGGTGAAGGGTATCATATAGTCGGGCCAGTCCGACTATACTACTTTCCTTACTGGTTTTTGTTTTTATGGCCATTCTAAAGACCACAATTATAATTATAAGGGTATCCATCTGAATCAAATGTTGGCCGCCTGAATTAAATGGTTCGCCAGTTAATGAGTTTATACCCAATTTTTGTGTAAATACTCAAAATAGGGGTACATTTGTATGAGGGCTACCAGAAAACGTGGACCTGGATCCATACGTTTATATTCGCCTTGAAATTAAAAACATGTATGCAAAATTTTGGCCGCCAATGTCAAGTGGTAAATACTCGGGAATTTACCCACGTCTTTAAAGTATAGTAATACTACCTATTCTAAATCGATTTAATAACAGAAATCCGGAAATAATTTGTAAGATGTTGGATTACCGATTCAATATAGTAAATACCCAATTTACCGGGTATTTACCCACTGCTCATGGTTCAATCTGGTGCTATTAACCACCATATTTTTTGCTGCCGCGAGGTCAATCAGCCTCATGCCGTTTTCGGATGTTTCTTCATGGATAGAGATGGTATTTACCGGGTAAATAACCAAGGGGTGGGTAAATACCCATTTTTCGAAATAAAGTGTATATATTCTGAAGGTACATCTGGAGACCTTTCAACTGATGTGGGCCTTCATTAGGTTTTGCGCAATATGGCGTTTTCTACACAGGGTCCCCGCTGTCACTGAAACTTGCAAGGGAAATCGGCAAAATCCGTTAGGCGAAAGTCTATTTTTCGGCATAAAGTGTATATATTCTGAAAGTACTTATCAGGACCTTTCAACTGATATGGGTCTCCATAATGCATCCATTAGGTTTTGCGCTATATGGCGTTTTCTACACAGGGTCCCCACTGTCACTGAAACTTGCAAGGGAAATCGGGAAAATCCGTTAGACGAAAGTCTCTTTTTCGGCATAAAGTGTATATATTCTGAAAGTACTTCTCGAGACCTTTCAAATGATGTGGAGACACACATACTGCATCCATTTTAGGTTTTGCGCAATATGGCGGTTTCTACACAGGGTCCCCACTGTCACTGACACTTGCAAGGGAAATCGGCAAAATCCGTTTGGCGAAAGTCTCTTTTTCGGCATAAAGTGTATATATTCTGAAAGTACTTATCAGGAACTTTCAACTGATATGGGTCTCCATAATGCATCCATTAGGTTTTGCGCTATAAGGCGTTTTCTACACAGAGTCCCCGCTGTCACTGACACTTGCAATGGAAATCGGGAAAATCGGTTAGGCGAAAGTCTCTTTTTCGGCATAAAGTGTATATATTCTGAAAGTACTTCTCAAGACCTTTCAAATGATGTGTAGACACACATACTGCATCCATTGTAGGTTTTGCGCAATATGGCGGTTTCTACACAGGGTCCCCACTGTCACTGACACTTGCAAGGGAAATCGGGAAGATCCGTTAGGTGAAAGTCTCTTTTTCGGCATAAAGTGTATATATTCTGAAAGTACTCATCGAGACCTTTCAACTGATGTGGGTCTCCATACTGGGGTATGTACAATATTGAATCGGTAATACAACATCTTACACCCTATTTCCGGATTTCTGTTATCAAATCGATTTAGAATGGATAGTTTTACGATGCCTTAATGACGTGGGTAAATACCCGAGTATTTACCCAATAATTGGGTATAAACACATTAACTGGCAAACAACTTTACATAGGCGGTCAAAATTTGGCTCACATGTTTTTAATGTCAAGGCGAATATAAATGTATGGATCTAGGTAATACAACATCTTACAAGACATTTTCCTTTCCGGTTTTTGCATTAAAATCTTCTATTAGAATTTTAATGTTATGACAGCGGCCATATGGTGTTTCTAGGCGCTCGTAAAAAGGTATTTGGTCTGTTTGTCTCCCGTCAGAGATGGGCTTTGTACATCAAAGGGGTCCATTTCCCTTGCTTTTTCATAAGGGTTTCCAAATGTGGGCTACCAACCCGACGCTTCAACCCGTTTTTTATACCCTCCACCATAGTATGGAGGGTATATTAGTTTTGTTTTTCCGTTTGTAACGCATCGAAATACTCATTTCCGACCCTATAAAGTATATATATTCTTGATCAGCGTAAAATTCTAAGACGATTTATACACCTGACTATGTCGATGCATGTCCGTCTGTCCTTCTGTCTGTTGTAATCACTCTAGCGTCTAAACGAATTGAGATAGAGCCCCAAAATTTTGCACAGAGTCGTCTTTTGTCTGCAGGCAGGTCAAGTTCGAAGATGGGCTATATCGGTCCACGGTTCTTGAGCGTGTTTTTCAACCGAATTCGCTGAAATTTGGTACTTTGAGTTCTTATTGGGTACCAAATAGACCTACTAAAAATTATAAATATAGGTCAATTTTTTCTGGTACCCCCCATATAACGGTACCCCTCAATTTTCGGTATTTTGGGGTTCTTGGCCGCGTTTTTCAACGGAATTCGCTGAAATTTGCTATATTGGGTTCCTATTGGGTAATAAATTTCTCCACAAAAAATTATGGATATAGGTCCACTTTTTCTGGTAGTCCCCATATAACGGTACCTACCTCCTAATTTTCAGTATTTTGGGGGTTTTGATCGTATTTTTCCGCCGAATTAGCTGTAATTTAGTATTTTGAGTTCTTAATAGGTATCAAATCTCCCCACAAAAAATTATGAATATAGATCCATTTTTTCGGATAGCCCCCATATAAGGATACCCCCAATTTTCGGTATTTTGGGGTTCTTGAACGCGTTTATCAACCGAATTTGCTGCAATTTGGTATTTTGTAGTCGTATATGGTAACAAATCTCTCTACCAAAAATTATTAATATTCGCCCCATTTTTGGGGTAGTCCCCATATAACCCCCTTTTGTTATATTAAAATAGTTATCTGATTTGTTACGCGTTTTAATTTTAGTTCTAAGACTCTGTTGTAATCATTTCACCTGCGGAGGATAGCGAGATAAAAAATTAGAACGTAAGGTTCGATAATGAACTATAGCCGCATTTAGACCTAGCCCCTGTGTGGAGGTACCAGAAGAAGTGGACCGATATTCCCCATCTTCGAATTTGAACTAAGTTTGGAAGAAATAATAAGATGTGCGAGGTTTGAATGAAATCCAACTTTACTGAAACGAATTTGGTCCAAAGAAACATGGGGTCTAGAACCAATATTTCGATGAGGCACATTTTCATTGTGTTAAAGTGTATACACCGTCATTAGCTGTAAGGCTGGAGGTATAATTATCCATTAAAATTTTCTGAAATTTGTATTGTTGTTTACATTATGGTTTACATAATCCGTTTTTAGAAATGTCGGTATAGGTCCACTTTTTGACATGTTCCCTATATTTTCATTTCTAGTACCTGTCCGTATATCTATGGTGGAGGGTATCCAAAGTTCGGCACGGCCGAACTTAACGCTTTTTCACTTGTTTATTTTAGATTCGCCGGATCATCCTTTTAGAAGATCAATACATCGCCACATAAATGTAAATTACCAGAATAATCAAGGATTTCCGAATTAATTTTAGCTAAAGCAAACCTATTTCCTATTGCGAAGCGTACTGAAAACGATTGATCCGTTTCAGGAACATGGTTGTTCACCTCAATTGAATAATAACCGTACGTATAAGTATTAAAATTTTTTCTAGAATAAAGTGTATTGTACTACGAATATGGATTGCTAAATGACAGTCACTTCGATGGGAAAATAAGGTGGGACCATTAAATAGGCACTATGTCGGAACTAAGACCTATATCGAAAATATGGTTTTTCATTATCCATGAATTTGTAATGCCTAATTACAGACACTTCGGGGGTAGAAAAATTGGCTAAAACTTTAAACTAAATTGATGGGGACATTTAAATGGGGACTTTGTAAAAAAAATTGGACCAATGTTTATCATACACGTCTTTGGCAAATGTTACCAGTCATATCCTATCATCACACAACTGGCGGATTCATTGGGCCTCCGACGAATATTTCGGGGTCTTCTAAACGAAATGTACATTGCACCTCATTGTGGTCTAAAAAATTACCCATTTGTTCAGGTTTCCAGGTCAGCTCGGTTCACCTAAATTCAAATTTAGTATCATTTAGTACCCATAAGTACAATTTTCCATACCTACATCTATACCCCAATCCTACACTACAACAGTAATGTTATTTCCAAAATTCAGTGTTCCACCTCTATCGGATCACCCAAATACAAATTGTACCAAATATAGTACAATTTAGAATATTTCGTACACATAAGTACAAATATCCAAAACTAACTACATATCCCAATCCTACACTCAGGCGATAATGTTAATTTCAAATTTCACGATTCCAAGTACATCCGTTCTTTCAAATTCAAATTGTACCAAATTTAGTACTGTTTCGTACTTTTCGTATATAAGAGTACACACTTCCAAAACCACCTCCTTATATCGACCCTACTTCCCAACCTTCGTATTCGCATTTCAAATTTTTAGCAATATGCGTTCACGTGTTACGAAATCCTACCAAATTTAGTACATTTTAGTACTTTTCGGGTAAATATACACCCCTATTCCGTAAGTCGTCGTCGTTGTCGACGACGTTTCTCTTTCGACATCACTTCGCATCGACATCACTTCGACACTGATTTGGTATTCTGTAACACTCATGTGACGATGTCGACTATTTATCGATAATATCAAAAAAACAAAAAACACATCTCTAAAGTTGAAGTCAGCTGATTTATTTTGTTCGTTATTTTTGTGGAAATATGATGTTTCTTATTTCTGATTTAAGTTCGGATTCAAGTGAAGAACAAAGCAAAAAAGATATAAATATGCTAAGAAAACATATAAGACAAGAGTCCGACATATTCAGATTACCAGATAAACAGTGAGTTAATTAAATTCTATATGTACGCATGAGTACTTTGTAATGTTTTCCTTAAAAGGTTTGAAAGTTACTTTCGCCTAAGTAAACCAGCGTTTAAGTATGTATTGGAGACTATTGATCCTCATTTGAAGAGCGGAATAAGAGCTACATTTGTTTCAAAAACAATAAAATTAGCAGCCACTTTAAGATTTTTAGCCCAGGGATCGTACCAACTTAGTGTTGGGAACGACTTTCAATTGGGACTTTCACAGCCAGTCGTTTCCAAGGTTATGTCTGAAACGTTGGATGTTCTTGAAAGAATAATTTGCCCCCAAAATATAAAATTTGAAATGACCAATGCTGAAAAAAATGAAGCCAAATTATACTTCTTTGAAAAAACAGATTTTCCTGGTGTTATTGGTTGTGTGGACGGGACCCACATTAAAATACAAGCTCCAAGTAAGGAAGACCAGCATCTATACTTCAATCGTAAAGGTTATTTTAGTTTAAATGCTATGGTTGTAAGTATGCCGTTTTTATGTATTATATATATATATATATATATAAATCGTTATAGGTATGTGACCATAAAATGCGAATACGGTTTTTGGATGCTCGATATGCAGGCTCTGCTCATGATTCATTGATCTGGAACGATAGTATTGTAAAAAGGGTGTTACAAGAACGATATACAAATGGAGAACGTAATACGTGGCTTTTAGGTAAAAAATAATGTTAAATTGTAACATAATTTCAGTTAGTTACGTTTTATTTCAGGTGATGCCGGTTATCCTCTTCAGCCATATCTTATGACGCCATATCGTTCTACTGTTGAAGGAAGTCCAGAAGCTATTTTCAATACGAAACATGCAAAAGCAAGAAATATAGTGGAAAGAACTATTGGTGTGCTAAAAAATCGTTTTCGTTGCCTCCTCGGAGCACGTCAACTTCATTATGCCCCATCAAAAGCAACCAAACTTACCAATGTGTGTGCTGCACTGCACAATATATGCATTGACTATGGAATAGATTCAATTGAGGACATAGTGCAGGATGCAGGATACAGTGCAGAAAATAGTCAACCTGTTGATGTACATGAAGAACAAAGGACCCTTAATATTGAGGCATCCTATATTAGGGAACAAATATAACAGTCTTTTCTATAAATTTAATTCACGATTTTATTAATTTTTTTGTTTTTTAACTAAATAAATTTAAAATTAAAACTAAAAGGAAGGTAATAATAAACAAAAACAAATTAAATTTGATAGTTTTATATTAATTCTCCTTGTTAAGTTGCTGAAGTTCCTTCTCTTTAATCAATAATTTTATTTTTTTATTTTTATTTCAGCATTGTGCGTTTCTTGCTCTCGTCTACTCCTATCTTCCTCTCTTTTTTTGTTTTCCTCCATCAACTTAAGCTTTTTTTCCTCTATATGCAACAGTTTTTTTTGCGAATTGGTGAGGTCTTTCATACATCGTTTCATTGACGACAGTTGATTGCTAATATCCGTCAACAACTTTGCTTGCTGGTCACTGTGGCTTGTTAGCAATACCGTACGATCGCTTGTTTCATTTCTGTTGCTATCAACAGGTTGCTTCCTTTTGTGACGAGCCACAGGCTTTGGTTGCAGCACAGCGGATGAAGTTGTTGGCACTTCGTCGTCAGTCGGTAGCTCCGTGACATTGCATTCAATATTGGCAGCTAGCTCATCCAAAATCTCTTCCACTGCTGCCGAATCATTTTCATTGACTGCATTTTGAATTCCCTGAACACTGCCTTCAGGGTTCAGCTGTTTTTGAAATTGTGCAAGATTTGCAACAGCTTCATCCAACGGACTTAAAGGGATCTGCTTAAATCTTCCCCCACCAGTAGCCAAACATTAATTTTTGTTATGGATCATTTTCTTCTTTACTTTAAATTTAAGGTCTCGCCAAACCTATAAATAAATTAAGTGATGTTATAATTACACTGTACACTATTTTCTTTAATAATTTTCTTACCTTCTGCCAACCATCTCCATTTCTTCGTGGCGGTCCAAGGGCATTTAAAATCATTGCGATTTCATTCCACTTTTCTTTAAAATTACTGGGAATTGCTCCTCTTCCAAATCCTCTTGCAAGAGAGGGATTATTTTGCAGTTCTTCAACCATTTTTTTAAATTGTTGTTGATTTGTAAATTTTTTTCTGTCTTCTTCAGTCATTTTTTATTTTTTAACTTCTTTCAAACACTTCAATCGTTGACGAAACTAATGACGAAGAAATCAGCGTCGTTTCAATTCAACATCGTCATAAAATGTTATTACAGAATACCAAATACGTTTCGTCAGTTATCGATAAATGTCGACAACGACATAGGGAATACCAATTTACAAAAGACGACTCGTAACGGCGTCGATTCGTGTCGACGACGACTTACGGAATAGGGGTGATAGTTCCAAAAAAAAAAAAAAAAAAAAAAATTATATATCTATTCTATACTCCTTCAGTGATTCTTATTTCAAATTTAAGAGTTCCAGCTCTATCGGTTAGTCAAATGCAAATGGTACCATTTTTAGTACATTTTAGCACTTTTGGTGCCATTCTAGTTTCCGAATTTCCAAACATCTAACCTTTTCTGACACCTGTGTAAACGAAAACTGTATCTAATCCGATTCTCCATCCGTATCTCGCAATTAAAAATTGTACCAAATATAGTACAATTGAGTACTTTTCGTTTATATGAGTACACCCTTCCAAAATCACCTTCTTATATTGACCCTGCTTCTCAACTGTGATTCGCATTTTTAATTTCAAGTTTTTAACTCTATCCCTTCACATTCTACGATATTGTACTAAATTAAGCACATTTTTGTACTTTTCGGGTACATATAGTTTGTATTTCCAAAAAATATACCTACCTTGCACTCCATCAGTGATTTTCATTCTAAATTTAAGAGTTATAGCTCCACCAGTTCCCCAAACACAAATTGTACCACATTTAGTACTTTTTAGTATTTTTGGTGTCAGTCTAGTACGAATTTCCAAAAATCCAGCCTTTTCTGACACCTGTGTGGCTTCCGTTTAAAATCGATATACGACAGCTATATCTAATCCGATTCCTCTTAAGATTTTGCAAATGTGCTTTTAAGCGTCTTCTAAACATCCGAAGGAAATTGGAAAGGTCTAGCTGCCCCCAGAAATTTGTTGGCTCAAAAATCTGCCATTGGGCCCATAGTGCATTGTTAAATTCTGATACGAAGAGAACAGTGATAAAATTGTAACTGATTGCCCTGCTAACAAGGTACATGAGAAGTGTTCGTTCGCAGAAGGGGATAATCGGAGGAACACCGAACAACAAAACAAAAAAGGGCTATAACAAATTTCCAGTAGGCAAATCATGCCACTCGATTATGTTGTTATTGTTGTTCTTCACCATGGCAATGGTGAAGGCGATGACAATGATAAAAAAATAATGTTGTTGTTTTTGTTGCTGTTGTTATTGTTGGAATTGATGATGACAAGAAGGCGTTTTTAATGAATTTAAGAGGGTCGTTGGTGAGTAAGAGTTGGAAACAACAACAACAATGTAAATTTTTCGATTTGCCTACAGCTAATCAAAGGCAGCAACAACGACAACATCTCCAATAACTTCATCGTCATCAGCATCATCATCGCCACCATTGTCGTCATCATCGCCATCGTGCTAAACAGGCGAATGGTTACAACCAACGCGTGCCAATTGACATTTTTAGTGGGTTTCTGCTACAGCGGCTCGCTTAGCAGTTTCTTCTTCTTCTGTCAGGGTATTTTGTAAGCATCGTCGTTGTTGTTTTGTCTTAAATTTTTCGCTGTTGTTGTTTTTTTTTTGTCTCCGAGATCTATGAAATTAATGTCAAGCCATTAATTTTCATTTTCACGATGCTGCTGCCTGCTGTTGGTGCAGTTGCTTGGCCCTTCCTTTAGCTTTCGGGATGCTACTACGCACTGCCTTTACCCGCCATAATCACAGTGACATTAAATGAATATGACGCCATGTCTTCATGGAAACTTTTTAATTTTTGTATTACAAGCTACTAGCAAAAAGTTGCATTTGTTTATTGTTGTTGTTATTTATCTTGCAACGAAATTATGCTGCTAATCGGAAGGCGTGGGTTTCGTTGCAGTTGTTTTCAGTTTCTTTTCAGATATATTTTTATTTTATTTTTTATTCGTTAAGAATGGAAAGATTTATTTTAATAATAAATAAAATCAGAGAGCGTAGCAGTATAGTCGGAAGGGTCCGACCATATGATACCCTACACAACTTCCATGGAAATCTAACTTTCTGAGGTTTTATATTCTGAGCTTGGGCAATATTTCGCGATATTTGCGACCGACTAGAGGTCAACAAATATTACTAAGTACAGTACAATTCACGACAGATTCCCTTCACCGTGGGTTGTGTTATGATGTTCGGCTTTCATTTGTGGTCTATAGATCGACTCGAAAAAACACAAGACATGTTTTCGGTCGAATGCATCCCAATAGTTTTATCGTATATTATAGACCTTGTCCGTGACCATACCTGGATCCTCATGCAAAATTTCAAAGCGATTAGCGCTATATATCCGCCCTCTAGTTTGCTAATGGGTTAATACGTAAGCACCTGTAAATATTTTAGTGTAAGGTCAACCACTCCTCTTGGATGTACAACCAACTTCTCGGGCCTATGTCCTTCAGGGGTAAATATATATGCCATATAATACAAATTTTGTAATTTTTCACACAAAAGTCCGGGTCCATTTGAACCTATAAATATTGATCGATATTTTGCAAAACAAGCATGCCTTCTCTTTGGCCCGATCCCCTTCTCCATGTAAAACCGATCTCTACCAAAAACAATAGGGGTCTTCATTGGTCAGAACCCATCCTGCATGCAAAATTTCGTGGAGATTGGTGTATAACTGTGGCCTGCATCGTGTTTACTTATTATAATGGACAGACGGACGGCAGGACACACATGTCTAGATCGACTAAACTAGTCGAGATATGATCGGTATACTGAAAGGTGGGTCTAGGGCCAATATTTCGCGACATGACAAACTCTTGGGGCTGCACAAAGCTATAATACCCTGACAACATAGTTGTGCAGGGTATAATTATTAGTTCCCATTATTACAGGATTTTATTTGAAATCTTGCATTTTCAGAGGATACAATAGCATCGCAGATTTTTACACCTTACACCACACTGTGGTGCAGGGTATTAACATAGATACAATCTAAAAGACGACGCGTTTTTCTTATATATCTATATCTGAACCGATTTCAGGGAAACTTGCCAGAGACTAATTTATATTACTTCAGTACGTTATGTCAATCGACCTAGCTATGGATCTTTTCACGAAGCTTAGCAACATCATTCTAGACTTAATTTGGTGCACCAATTACAAAAAATCGGGCGAAACTATATATGCGAGCTATATCTAAATCTGAACCGATTTTCACGAAACTCAGCACTCGTCAATCTAGACTTAATTCAGTACGCTATGCCAAAATTCGTGCTAATCGAATGATTTTCAGGGACTTTGGTGCACCATTTACATAAAATCGGGCGAAACTATATATGGGATCTATATCCAAATCTGAACCGATTTTCAACAACTTTTACACACATCATTCTAGAATCACTTCAGTACGCTATACCAAATTTCGTGCAAATCGAAAGATATATATGGACTGTGGTGCAGCATTTACCTTAAATCGGACGATAGTATATATGGGAGCTATATCTAAATCTGGACCGATTTTCACGAAACTCTGCAGACATCTATCTAGGCTCATTTCAGTACGTTATGCCAAATTTCGTGCAAATCGAAAGATATATATGGACTGTGGTGCACCATTTACATGAAATCGGACGAAACTATATATGGGAGCTATATCTAAATCTTGACCGATTTTCACGAAACTCTGCAGACATCTCTCTAGGCTCATTTCAGTACGTTATGCCAAATTTCGTGCAAATCGAAGGATATATAGGGACTTTGGTGCACCATTTACATGAAATCGGACGAAACTATATATGGGAGCTATATCTAAATCTGGACCGATTTTCACGAAACTTGGCAGACATCATTTTAGACTCAATTCAGTACGTTATGCCAAATTTCGTGCAAATCGAAGGATA